TTTTATAAATATTGCTTTGTTTCATTTTCACTAAACCTGGGTTCGGGATAAGTCCATAACATTATACATTATATTTATTAGTATTAATTAATAATTTAAGTTTTTGTTAGGTTTAATATTAATTACAAGTACTATTTTATTTTGAAAATTTTTATTTGGAAAAATTTTACAGGAATTTTTGACGATTTTCTCAAAAAATATTTTAGGGATTTTTTTCCCGGGGATATTTTTTCCTATATTGTTAATTTTATAAAAATAATTTAATATTTTATAGGATTTAAAAAATGGGGAATTTTTTTCCGATGAAATTATTTTCCGGGGAATTATTTTTCTATGATAATTTTTTTCCCGGAGAATTATTTACCTGGGAATTTATTTTCCGGGGGTACTCCGGGGATTTTTATTTCCGGGGAATTATTTTTCGGGCCTAGATTCAATTTTAGTATTCATTTTTGTTTACTTCACGGCGAATTCGTGCTAACTGTGAATGCAGGGTTAAGTGTAGAGCGCCCGGATGGCAAGCAGGAAAAAATGGTAGCCATATAAGGGTTTCTAACATTTCCTCGACAAATTAAATTTACTATTTGTAATATAAGTTCACGAAAAACATACACCGACCTGATTCTTATTCCTACGTGACCATGGATAGATGTTTTGTTGCGTAGTCAGCCAATTTTAGCCGACTCCAAAACGGCTTAGCAGAGTTTTTAGGTAACAAAAATCGGATAAAACTAATTAGTCAAAAAATTAAAAAACGACTAAGGAGCTCGGCTAATCGTCTGTCCCAGCGTTACGTAATAAATTATAAATAAATAATAATTAATTAAGGCTAAGGCTTATCCTACGTAAAGCTGATGGACGATTAGCCGAGTTCCTTAGCCGATGCCAAATTTTGACTAACTAATTTTAGCCGATTGTAAAGATATGCCTAATTAGGCTTAGATGAGATTTTTAGCCGATTATGCAATACAAGATAGATACCATAAACCATCCATTGTTGTTTTCCATAAACAAGAAAAAACTTTTTTCTTTTATTACCTTCGGTACAATAAGGTCCTCTGAAGGCGGTCCAGGCGCAATCGCATTTGGCGTAAGACCACATTTCGTAACAAGTGCCGTTATTTTGGCATGGGTAATTGTCGGAGATCCGGCAGGCGCCCATGCAACCCACAAGTATGCCCATATTTTTTAATTCTTTTTTGTGGCTCAATCCAGGTGTCCTATGAGAATTGAGGAGAGAGTTTATAGCTTCGACCTTGGAAACTAAATCTAAAAGTTGGCCGTTCACGGTAAAAACCCTCATGCAACCAATGTAACCGTCGGTCATGTCCGCTTTTCCGCCTTTAAAAAAAATATATAATACACTAGGCTCTCCTATTTAAAATGCTTATGATTCTATATATTAGACCACCTGTTTAGAAACGTGATTTTAACCTTTCCAGTTTCAACATGTTATTTTTTGCAAATAAGAAAAACAATCCCTCTAAATTATTAGAAATGGTATTTATTTGATTTAATCAACATATTTTGACTAGTATTTTTAACATTTTCTAATTCTAAGAACATATATAATAATATAGTATCAATTAGTGATCTGAAGCGGGCCTAATTTCCCAAACCCGGCCCGGAATTTCTTTTAAAAAATTTGTCTGGACATGCCCGATCCCGAACAAATTTTTTTTATTTGTTCTGAAAAGCCCCAAAATAAAAATTAGGGTAAATTCTTAACAAAATAAGAAGAAAAAAGAAATTAGCATAATAACAAAAATATATATATAAAAAAAGGTAAATACAAAAATATATAATATATTGTGAAGAGGAACTATATATATATATATAAAATAATAATGGAATAGATATACATTCCATATAGAACCTATTCCAATCCTAAGCGTAAAATTGATACAATTAAAATAATGATATTTATCTATTTTATTCTATTTACAAATAGATGATGTGAAAATGAAGGGGAAATATAATATTCATATTCCTTGGGCCACGGGACTGGATTTATATTTTATTAATAAAGTTACTAACCAGCCGGGTCCTGTATAACTCTAATTCTGAGTATGAAAATAAATTGCTATTCAAGATTTCAAAAAGAACGAGTTATACCTATAATCATCAAAAATTCTTTGTTATCTGGTATTGGCAAATCCATTTACATATACACTCAATTATTAATAAAATATATAATATATTTTTTTTTAAAAAAAGAACTAACCTATAACAAACTTTCTCGTCAATTTTAGGGCCTTGAAGTTGGCTTCCATCTCCGATAAACTTTCGGGTCTATAAGAATCAGCCCAAAATCTGACTTCTTTCTTGCTCCACTCAATGTTAACCAAATGCCATTCGTTGTTATTAAACGAGTCCGTGGCCATGATCGTTAAAATTCGATTCCCATCTCCGGTATTAAATTCTAGTTGTAGCTTTCTGCCGTCTTTAATTAAATAACAAATATTTTATTTTATATTTCTTTCGAATCCTTTTCTCTTTAGATCAGACCAGTTTCTTAAAATAACCAGATTTTGGAACAGAACTCGGGTGGGTAATCAAACCGATTTAGTATCCGTTACAAGTGAAAAAATTTGATCCTGATCTCTTACACACATATATATATACATATAATATTATAAAATTTGGCATTAAGGAGCTTTATGAATAAGTGTTACGTATAAAATAGGTGTTGGTAAATAATTCACGTACGGAAAAGTTATTTATAGATTTCACATTTAAGTCGATTATGTGAATTAAAGGGAAGGAGTATGGGGTAACATATATTAGCTATTGGCGAAAGCCTGATGTTGATTAGGGTGTTTGTATCAAAATAATGCCTTAAATTTCACAATTTTTTTAAAATTCATTTTAAAGTTAAAAGTTTTTTTTTGTATCTCATCTGCTTGATTTCGTCAAAAAAACACATTCATATGTGTTTGGGCGTATATATCGTGGGATAATTTTTCACAAAAAGCATCTTTAAAAAAATGTTTCTTGTATTTAAATAGGAGATTAAACTATAATTAATACAAAGCAATAAATAAAGATTTTATGCTAGATTATAAGATAATAATTTTGATTTGTGAATATAGAACACTATAATATTCAGCCGATGATTCTTCGCTTAAAACTAATTTAAAAAAAAATAAGGGCTATTTACCGATTACGTTTGCCCTCGTAACTTGAGTCAACATTTAAACATTAAACAAATTGCTGTTTTTGTTTGAAATCACAAATTTTTAAAAATTTAGCAGGAAGCGAACCTATTAATTTAAGGCGGAAGTAAGTGATGGTTCCGTCGGTGCCTAAATTTTCGAAAAATACTGCGGATAAATGGGAAGTTTTGAACTCGAATTGTATATCCCCCGAATCGGTTATAATCAAGGGAGGAAAAGTAAGAATCGCTTTAGCTCTCTTGAACGTTACCACGTTTTCGAACAATTCTACAAAATGTGCAAAAAATAATAATATGAATAAATTATAAACTTTTTTTCAGATGGTTATAGCTATAAATATAAAATGTTATGTTCATCATTAAAATTAGTAAATCTCATTAATACTAAATTTATCCACAATTTTATAATAACAATTATAATAGGTAAAGATAAATTTTTTTTTAAAAAAAACATAAAAATAAATGTGTTTACGATCGCCAGTGCACAACAAAGGCCCAACAGTGTAATAAGCTTTACGATCTTCTGCCAAGGTGCCAGTATCGCCGATTCTGTAATGTATATTTCATTGAATATAGTGAAAAATATTTAAAACATTATAATATTTGAAATGCTTTATTCAAAATAAAATGCTTAAAAAGGCTATATCCAAAATCCCCCTTTTTAAAAAAAAAAATTCGAAAAGTTTTAAAACTTTCCCAAATTTAAAATTTTTTTAATGAAATGTTAAATTTATATAAAAAAATTTCTAGAATTAAATTTTGGACATGTATTTTTATATTTAAAATTAGCTTATATTTATTTATATACAAATTTACGAACTTATTTTTAAAAAAAAAAATATTTTGGACACAGTATAAAGAAAAAAATTGATTTAGTATTAAGATATGAAAAGTGGGCGAACTATAGGATACTTCACCTTTATTAGAAGAGCATTATTTATAAGAATTGTCTAATAAATCAAAAAAAAATTCTTTTTTAAAAAAAAAAAAACTTTAATTACGCGATTTCAACGACCGGTAAATGCTCCTTCTCCGTTATAAACCCTGAATCTTCCGTTAGGTAGGGTTTGTACGAGTCGCAATTACAATATTTATCCTTATCAATGCAGTTTTGTTTGACCCCACAAGCACATTTTCCTGAACCGGAAGGTGCCCCTCCCCAATAATACATGGGTTGGTTGTGCCGGGAGACCCACCAACTCATGGGCGTGTTCCAATCTACGGTGAATGCACAAATACATAAATTCTACAAATATTTTCTCTTATAATATTTGGTCATAACCAGGGTTGCCAGAACTCCCACTTTCGACGTAATATCCCAATTTTTTTATATTAGTTTACGCTAAAACACGCTGTCTATTGATTTACGCTTTCTCCCGATTTTCCTAATATAAAATTCTCCCAAATTAATTTTTTTTTTCGATCTCCAAAATCTTTCCAATTTAAAATAAAATAATATTTAATATCTTTTAATTTAAAAAAAAATTGTTACGATAAATCATATAATTATTTTCTCTGATTCTGATGATGAAAATGATTATTATGCGAATGTGAAGTAAATATTTTATATAATTTTTAGAAATCAATCTACATAAGATGATGGAAGTAAACAATTTATTATTTAAAATTTTAACAGTTTTATATAGCCAATAAAAATTTGTGATTAATTAAATAAAGTTTTCTCATGATATTTCATTTCATTTCTTTTCCAATTTTATTCCATTAAATTATTTATAAATTACAGTTTAAAAACAAGTTTAACATCTAAAAAAATGTAAATCGCAATATCAAAATAACTGGAATTCCATTTATTCATGGGTCAGGGAAGAAGAATGTAGCTTAAATGCAATTTGTATAATGTGCAATATAAAATTTATTTCAGCCATAGAGGAGAAAAAAATAATTTATATGATGATAATATTGCGATAGCCGAAACAACATTCATCTATCAAATGATAAAACATTCGCTTAGTTATTTATCTGCATATTGTGCTGCAAATTTATTGCCTATACACTTTCCTGATTCAAAAATAGCCAAAAGGATAAAATGTAAAAGAACAAAATCATCAGTGTCAAATATTCTAGGTCCTAAAACTAAGAAATACGTCAGGATAAGGAAAGTCATCCATTTTCTCTATTAACCGATGTATCAAATAATGGAAATACTAAAACATTTCCAATAATGCTGCGCAATTATAATAAAGAAAGAGGTGTGTCGAGTAAACTTCTAAGAAAAATTCCATCGGATTTGCAAAGCCTTGAAAATGTGACCTTTCACTATCAAATGTAACAGCTTTTTATGATGATAACGCAAGTGTGAATTTTGAAAAAGGCAAATTGTAATGGCAAAATTATTCATTTTGAATGAAAATATTATCCTCATTGGTTTCCTGTGCCATACAATTTACAATGCAGGAAGAAAAGGGCATGCTCAATTATCAATAGACAGAGAAATAAATGGTTAAGCCGAATTCAGCAGATCTACAACAAATGGGTTATATGTTGTTTAAAAAAAATCATGGATTCTCAGGATATTGAATGGTCTGAACTTCTACGAATTGTTCTAACAAGATGGCTATCATTAATACCAACTCGAAAGACTTAATAAAAATTATTTAGTTATTTAATCGTATTTTTTTATCTCCAAAAAATCCCAATTCAATATTAAAATTCTTTTTTGAAAATGTATTTGCCGAGACTTATTAGGCCTAGTTATTAATATGTAGATGACCTTACGTGGTTAAAAAAATTTAAATCCCAAAATTTAATTGCAGTGGAGATATTTTTATTAATGAATAAATTAGTTAAAACTTTAAAGCCCAAGTTATCAATAAATAAATTGGAAAATCTAAATATTACGAAGTTCGATAATAAATTCAAATTTGGGGAAGTTAAATTAATAATAATCAATTTATTTTCATTTAAATAAAGAAATAATTACCGGGAAAAAAAATAAAAATCATTTTTTATAAAAGAAATTTTTTTTTTTGAATTATTGTTAAATTCTCCCGCTTTTTATTTGAATAAATCTGGCAACCCTGGTCAAAACCATTTTCAAGGGGGAAGAGGATGATGTTCTTTGAACCCCTCCTTTGATTAATATTTAAAGCAATAAATCTAGGGGGTCTGAAAATATAAAACATGGGCCGGGCCAAAAAAAAATTTTGAAAAATAATTCAGCCCGAGTTATGCAGATGGTACCTCTGCAGGTCTCCAGATATATATAATATAAATAGTATTTAAACTTGGACTGTTCATCAGCCTAGCCATAAGGCATTCGTATTTTATGTTTTGTTTGCATGACAACGATCTATTAACGAACAAATCCAATAAATATGGGTCATCGCCCATTCCTTCGTAATAAAGTCTTTGCTTGTAACTTCCGGCTTCGGGATATCCCGTGACCATGTTACGTTCCCATTGAAAGTTGTGAGAAAGGATGGTTTGAGTAAGGGAAGAACTGATATCAATCAAAACAATATTTTTTAAAAAAATGAAATATTTAACTATCTTAAAACCTATGACAAACTATTGATTTAATTCTAACATAATTTGAAAATGAGAAAATTATGATAGTCTTTTACAATGACTATCATCCGAGAGTTATTGTTATTAATTATTTTCTCATAAAATTATATATGACACTTATATCAAAGTAATGTGGATGTTATGCGTAGCTTAGCTAGCTGCGGGACATTATATATCATCTAAGATATCCCTCCTCCTCCCCCCACACCATGTGCATGTTCAGCTTTTAAGATAAACAGCAATTTATTCTAATCACTATTATTTATTTATTTTTAAGAATAAACATGTAGCGAATTTTAAAATATAAATATTGATAAATTTTTAAAATATTGGTTTAACATAATTTTATTTTAAACGGGTTAAACCTAAATTTGGATTAAACATTGGTAGTAGTGTTTCACGTAAAAATGCATAAATAATAAACTATTAATTCAAAAAATGAAATCGATTATAACTACTGAATAATTAATAAATAATATTAGATCAATATTGTATAACACAATTATATTTTTTAAAGATATGAGTAACAAAATATAACCTTTTAATAAAGTATCTATTTTTTAATACCCAGTATCAAGATTTTGACGATGTGGCGATGAGTTTTCACTGAAATCACAAACGACCCTAAATGGCTTAGCTGGCCCACTCCCGTCCATATCAATGATCAAGGACGTCCCGGTTAGTGATATGGCTGAACTCGTGGTAGCTAATTCAATTTATTAAATGTTAAATTGCTATTACAGGATATGAGTTTTTTTTATCATAATCACATTAGCTCAATTCTCTAAAGATTAGATAAATAACTATAGATAAAATTTAATTAAAAGAACTAGATTTAAATTTAACTTTATCCTATTTCTTTTACCTTCATTATTTTTTATAAAAGAATATTTATAAAATAAGGACAGAATCTGGTTTCCACTTATTTAGAGGTATATTTTTACATCAATCCTATTATGGCAATCATTACATTTTGCACCATCTCGTTCATACTTGAGATGCAAAATTGTAATTAAAAACACCTTCTTTTAAAGTTCATAGAAAACGAAAAAAATCACTGATTTGTACAAAATTTCCGGGCCGAAAAAACTTTTTTTTAAAATTTTAACGAGACCGATTTATAATCCAAATACTAATTTAACAAACCTTTGTATCCGGTCTCCTTATATTCGTCCCGTTTGGTATCCGAATCTTCGAATCCATTACTATGGTATGGCGAACTAGTCGAGGGCGAACTGTACAAATTTCGCCTTTGCTTGTAAGCCTCGCAAGATAAGGGGTGAATGGACGAGTGACAAACGGGTCCCGTGTACCCGGTCCCGTCGCATACGCAATAAAAATCGAACCAATCTTGGGTGCATACACCTTCGTGTAGACAAGGGTTTGGGGTGCATCTTAAATGCGTACATTTTATAGAGATTATAATTTAAGGTATAAATTGCACCAAATATTCGTTCATTTTTAATAACACAAAAAAAGGAATTATATTATTTTCAGAAGATATATATCATATGATAATATTATAATCTAATCTATTATTTTTTTTTCTAAGACATGTTATGAGCCCATAAATTAAATCAATCTCACAAAACCTATCCACAATCGTACAGGCATCGATGCTTATTCCCTGGCTGATATCTTTTGGAGTTAGAGAAGCTAGGGGGATCATTCTACTATCCAAGTATAGGGATCTGATGCAACCTAAATAACCTGGATCTTCGTCGGGAGTCACTCCTCCTATTATATAAAATTTTAAATATAAATATATTTCATAATTAAATCTAATAAAACACATAATCTCTTATTTATATAAATTTAAATCTACATAAATACTAACCTCCGATTTGATAACTTTTCCCGGTTCTGATATCTATTTTCCTTCGGGTCAAACTTTTCCATTGATCGACATCTAAGAGTATTTCGTTGGTTTTGATATAGAGGGTGACCCTGTGCCAAATTCCATCGTTAAAATGCTTATTTTCAAAAGGATCTATACTTTGCTTGTTAGAGGTTTCGCTATATAGGTTAGCTAGATTAACAATGCCTATTTTAAATTTTTTTTAAAAAAATGTGTTTGAATAGAGAGTCAAGAGATTGATTGAGATAAAATTATGGATGATTATTTTTAGTACAAAAACTTAAAAATTTTAAGAAATATTTAATTTAAATTTTATATAAATCTTCAAAATTTTTGCTCAAAAAATTTTTTTTTCAACTCTGAATTAAATTACCTGAAAAAAGAAAAACATCTATAAATTTGTTTTAAAAAAATTTAAAATGTTGAGAACAAGAATAAATGGCAAAATTATTTCAAAAAAAACAACTGTAAGTGCCAGTTGTCATATATTCTAATATAGGATTGGCCATTGGCATGCTGCGCCGTTATTACGAAGACACTTAAAGACAGAAAAAAATGGCAAACATATGACCAAAATACAAAGCAAGATCAAATATAATTTATCTAAAATATTCAAAGTGTAACAAAGGAAAACCTTCAAATGGGGAAGACATCTGCGAGGCGACTCTTAAGGTTAGAGTGATCCTTCCTTTAGCCAGCAACAAACTTATGTAACCGCCCGCTCCTCCTAGTTTATGATGGGCTAGCAATCCGTTGCTGTGAAAAGTTCGAAACTCGAGCGATATATTCAAAGCGCTTATGCCATCTAAGGCCGGCCATTCAAAGTTCGCTTCGGGAAGGGTAAAGGTTACTGCTGGGGATTTTTTAATCTTTTTTTTAAAAAAAATTTTGTTCCATTAGGGATTTTTTTTTTTCCATGAATTTAAAAAAATAATGATAAATGATTTAATTGTAACCATCATCTAAATCAAAAGCAGCCATTAAATGGTTTAGCTGACCCATCCCCGCCCTCCATAAATGGACTTCAAAATATATTATAAATGATGCATTAAATTATAAAATTTCGTACTCGACACATGTCGCCGGGGTTGTTCAAAGTTTCGAACCCTTTGGCATTCTTACGAGTCTCGTAGATTATATTGATATCGTTGATCAAAATATTATCTACGCATCCTTTAAAGCCTCTAAGTTGGGAAGATATTGCCAAGTTGTTTTTGGCTGTCGGTGGTAAGTATATGCCTCCAAAAGTTATCTTTTTTTTATATATTATGTAAATTTTATTTATTTTTTTTAAAACAAAAATAATTTTAAGTAACGAACTATAATATATTGATAAATGATAAATAAAACAAAATTTTAGTCAAAATAATCCCGTTTTAAAAAATCGACCCAAATCGGGCCGTTATACAACACTTATTTGGCCTGAACTTTATTTTTAATTCTAAAATATTGATGTTATTTCAAAAACCTTACGCCTCATTTATAGTAAACGCGATTAGTTCAAGCGGTGTGGTATTTAACGTTATTGGAATCACAGCGGTTCTTCGCAGAAATAATAATTTTTGCAATATACGTCGCAACTTTTTCAATTTTATCATAGAGTTTTCATCATCTGGCGACATAATTATAAATTATACCTATTCATTAGCTTGATTTTGCACAGCTTGAACAAATCGCGTTGAATAATTTAAAAAAAATTATAATAGAAGTTGGAGTCTTATGTTTTCCTGGTTCGTCTCATTTCTAAACAATAACATAGTCTGTTTAGCTGGTTATAGCTTCCTATAAACAGTCTAAAAAGAAAGAGGCTATGGGTAGTATCTTTGTGGGAAAAAAATATATAAATAACAAATAATATTTATTTAATGTAAGCGGTTATGAAACAATCCAAAAGAGGGTGTCCTAGTTCAAAATCTTTTTAGCCTGGGCTAAACCGAAATAAATTTCAAGAATAAGATGAACCAGGACAATAACTTATCATTTCTTTTTAAATCTAATCTAATGGGAAAAGATTTTATAATCAAGGTTATTTTAATTTTTAAATGTTCTTTTTTTTTATACATTCAAATTTTAATATTTTGTATCGATGCAATAAAATTCTATCTTTTTTAGATTTTAAGGATTCTTTTGGTGTTCAAATAAAATTCGCATTGAAAATATACCAATAATCGTTTTCCATTGAAAAAAAAACATAGCCTAAAATAAATTTAAAACACCCACTCATTTTTATAGCTATGAGCACAGAAGATACCCTAAGAATTTTTTAACACCCACCTCCCCCGCGCATTGTTGAATATATTTCCATCTTTAACCGACCAAGACAACGAGTTCTTAACCACGAACTAAACCTTCACCTAGGGGTCTTTTTCTTTTAGAAAACTTGGAAAAAAAGTTACTCTTAATCAAAGTGAAATTTAACCGATTTTAGGCATTGTCCAACTAATAACCCACCCTCCTAGTAATATGAATGAATTTTACGTAATTATCCAAATCTAGAAGCGAAAAACTTCCGGGTATAAGCGATTGATTTTTCATTTGATCTACGGTCATGGTGAGGTTTTTGCCGTTCCTTTCTAGCATGACATCGTGCCAACGATTGTCGTCCAAAAGGTTACCGACAGTCAAGGGTTCCAACGAGACTTCGTGATTGTCGCCTTTTTATATAAAGAAGGTTGCAATGATTATAAAATTGTAACCTTGTTATTAGCGTCTATAACTCTGTACTAAGTAATTTGCAGAGTTTGAAATGCTCTTCAATATAAAAAAAATCAAGGATTTAAGGATTTTTGATCTCCAAAAAATTTTTTAAATGAAGATTTTTTTGTTAAAACATTAAATTTTTGCGAGGATGAAGCATCCATTTTTGAACATCAATCATTTTTAATATTATAAGATGCAGTTACATCGTAACTTACCCAATTACCGGCTTTTTATTCAAAATGGTTGCATAATCACAAATGTTTTTTATATTTTTTTTTAAAAAAAAACCCAGTTTCACGTAGAGCCTCAATTTGCTGTCCCTCAGCTCTAAAAATATTAGGTCTCCTTGACTTCCGGGGCTATGCATTAGGATGCCATCTTTGTAACTTGTCAAAAATCTGAGCCGGATTACTTCAGAAGTTCTGTGTATTTGATCATCGCTTATATTGTATCGAATAAGATCGCCATTTCCGGAAAAACTAATCACGTTGGACTCTGTATAAGAAAATTAGTTTATTTATATATTTGAAAAAAAAAATTGGAAAATTCATCCACTATATCTTTTCTTCATAGTTAGTTACTAGTGCTTAGATTATGGAATCTATTAAGGAAATTATAGGTTGTATAATATAATTTTGGCTAAAATATAACATTAATTGGTTAAATCGAGCTCTTTAACAAAACCAGAGTACAATCTATTCAATTCTATTTTTATTTTATATACCTCTTTAAATATACATTTAGTTTTTTTTTTAATATATGGCTAAATATTTGGTAATAGGCAAAACATTACGATAATCGCATCCAAAGAGTTCTACGCGTAAGGATATATATAAGTACCATTTTTGCGGATTTATTCGAATAAAGCGAGCTATGATAGGAGGGTAGAAATTATTGCGAACAGATGTCTGTGAATCATAATTTCCTTTAAAAACCTATATTTCGTGTATTAAGAAAATTAAATTATGATTAAAATTTATAATATTTTAAAAAAATGCATATCGGGTAGCTACTCTTTAAAATATCGTGTTATTAAAGGGTATTGGCTGGATGCATAAAATTTTTGATGAACAAAAATAGGGTATATCTTCAAAACATCGTTATACCCACCCGCTACCTCCATTTATCTATAAATTTTGTTTAATCCGCCCGCCTAATGTTGAAAAATTATTTTAATGGCTTGATTTGGCTCTTTATTTATTTAAATGTATATTTAATTAAACATATATAATATGGAATATTATGAAATAAAACTATTATTTTTAATAAATTGAAAGTTTGTTCTCCTCATTTCACCTGAAAAATAGCAAAAGTTCCGCCTACGCCCACCCCTTACTTTTAAAAAATTTTCAACCCGCCCCCCCCACCAGCCCAATGTTGAAAATATTATAAAAACCCCGACCATGCCCATTCAATGTATGGAAGGGCGTGGGCGGGCGGAGGGAAAACCCGCCCAATGCAGATCTCTAGTATATACGTTAATTTTTAATGATATAATAATAGCTAGGAAATTTTTTTATTGACTGAAATAATTTTTTTTTATAATAACTCAAATAAGGATAAGGAGTAGTTAAAGGTTAAAAATATATAGGATAAGTCCAACATCCTCATCTAATTTTAATTCAACTAATAAATATAAATTTCTGAAAAAATACAATGCAACGTGTATTTGGAAGAAATTATTTCAATCTTTTAAAAACAGCATTTAAAATAATCACAAGATATTTACTCAGTAAAAATTTGTTAAACAAAATGAAAAGGATTAAAAATATAGTAACCGAAAGATAAGATAAAAATATGACCCTTTATTAACGATGGGTGGACAAATATAAGAGTTGTATGTGTTATAAATTTTATTATAGCAAAACCAAGTTCCATTTTCTATAAATTGATTAAAACTGGGACCAATATCCATAAGGGAGAATACATATATCTAGTGAATTTTATTAAAGTAATTGTAGAAATAGGAAACACAAAAATAAACATTATAATAAATAATGCAAGTAATGAAAAATGCTTAGACACTTGTGAGAATTAAATATCTAATTATCGAATACATATGGACTTAATTTGCTTTTAAAGGATCTAGCAAATAAAATATTGCTAATTTAAATTTTAATAGCAAAAACCCCAATTATTATAAAATATGTAAAATTCAACATTCTTCTTATATGTTTAAGGAAAAAGATATAAATAGGATTATTTCCTTAAAGTTGCCTACCTCTCCCAACTCTTTGCACAGTAGTTATGAAAATTAACAGTCTGCTAAAAAAATAAAGGCGGCAATACTACATATTTTTAGAGGTAAGAGAACTTGATCTTCTTGATAATTAAGTTTTTTAAATGATACACATCTATCCAAATTTATAAAGTCATTTCTACACAAATAGAGGAAGTCGAAGCGGACAAATCAACCTTATATGCCGTTCCTCAAGCATTTATTCATATCAGGGAAATCTCTTACGGAATAAAATTATAGAGATAGAACCATTTATAAAAGGAATCGGAAAATATTTTATTGCCGAGACTTAGATTTTATAAACCTATTTTCAGGATACCTAGATTTAGATGTTGCGAGATATATGACAAATTTCTCGATTTAAAGATAATCGTTTCAAGTGAAGATAACACACTAAATAACTTAAATTATATCAAACTTATTTAAATAACAAATTAATAGTCTAAATATTTTTGATAAAACATTTTTAAAAAATCAATATTAAATTTTTAAAAGGAAATTTCCCATTTTTTCCAGCTCCCCCTCTCCCAATTTTCCGTGAAATTTACATGCCTAAATGAATCTAAAATTTTATTGTCCTTTTCCTCGTCATAAAAGTAGGGTGCTAGCATAGTAAATCATAGTTTTGGTAATAACTTTATTTTTAGCCATATTTCAGCTGTGGGGTTTCAAATTTGAAAAGATAGCTTACTTAAACCAAAGTGAAATAAAAAATTTATAATTTTATTAATGTTTAGCTAATTTTTTGCGACAAGTACATAAATTTACTGTCGTAATTGGCAATAAAATAAAAAATAAATGTCACATTTGAATATGTTTATTTACTTAACCCGGCTTCGAATTTTTTTTCAAGCTTTGATTTTTAAAGACCCTGCCCTAAATTTACAAAATGTCGTTATTTTGAATAATAACGGTTGTATTATATACATTGTTTCATACGTAATTTAAGATATGGGCAATAAATTAATATTAAGCGCGTCATATGGTTTTATAACTGATTAATTAAAATAATTTAAATTTTTAAACTTCATTTTCAAATTCAAACATTTGATTATAAATATTAACATACCAAAATTATTAAAAAATAAATATTTAGGGGTTAAGTTGGTGGTGTTTAATGACCCATGTATAGACATAAAGTTGAATAGGCAAATTTCGATCGATATTCATTTGTCGAAAGTAAAAGCTCCCTCTGAATCGCCTGTGATTAAAAGTAACCTATGCCCCATTGTTTTGACTAATTTTTGGGCTTGGGGTTCAAATCCACAGGTGTCTGAAACTACCCGAGCTATCAGATACTTTAATTCCGATCATGATATTTAAGCCCGATCTGGCCATTAAAAAAAATCTATCCCAAAAAAAATTAATTTAAATTATTTGAATAGAATGCAATCGAATTATTGGATATTATAAATGAATAATAACACAATTATTAAATTTGTACTGAAACGAACAGTATAATTTAATTATACGATTCGTAATAAAAAAATAAAAAAATGAATTTTTAGTTCAAGTAATGTTTATAAAAAAAATTTAAAAAATAAATTTTAACGTTGGTGTTCATTAATTTACGAAAAGTACTAATAGATTAATGAGTTCTATTATTTATTCCCCCCTCCATAAAATATAAGTCTCATTTAATTGCGTATCAAAAAAGAAAAACTTCAAACACATGTAGCTAATCAATTAGGTTAGTATAATTATAAAATAAACCCCAATTTAAATGTGTAAAATGTAATATTTATTTTATGTAACACAAGGTATATACAAAATCTATTATTGTAATAGAACAAGTAGTCAAGAGATGGATGGGTGGAGGAGAAAAGGGGAGGGAGGGGCGAAGCTAAACTCCCCCAAAATTAGGGGATGCCAATTTTTCTATAAATTTTGAGTTATCACGGTGGGGAATTCTACTGAAAACTATAACCAAAACGTTATGAAATTTATTACCACCAAAAACGAGTCCGATATAGGGCGTTGGTTTTAATTGGGATGTAAAAAAGAAGAAACGGAAAAAAACATAATATTAAATCTGGTTTGTTCTGGCAAATAGGCATACTGAATCTCGCGTTAGGCCTGATTTATGATAAACATGTTTTGTTCGAGCGATGCGACAATTAACGCTATAGAAATCACAGCTGATTCTTGATAGCGATACTAATTTTTGAGTGATAACATATGTTTTTTTTCAAATTTTATCAAAGTTTGTCGTTTCGCTCCACATTTATAAAAATTATATCTATTTATTGGCTTAATTCTGTAAATAATGCAGCGTAAAATACAGCACTTGAATAAAATGCAATCATGAAAACGAATTGGTTATGTTTTCTGTAAATAGACACTTCAATATTTCTCAATTATATGATTTAATTTGACATATAATATTATTTGTACTTATATAAAAATTTATTTTAAAGGTATTTATAATAAATTTTCACCTTTTCCATTATAAACAAATTTATAATAAATCAAATATAAAAAAAAAATCATGATGAGAAATATAAAGAATAAAAATTGATCAAATGAAATTACATTCTTAAAAATGATAAAAATAATAGCTAAAAATATAATATATTATATATATAGAAATAATTTTTAAACAACATATCAAATATTGTCCAAGGAAAAATGGGGCAATATGGTAAGCAAGGTAAAAAAAAAAAGGTAGCCTATAACTGCGCGTTCTTTAGACTACCATGATTAGAAATAAGAACTCCAGATTCAAGAAATATATTCCAAAAACTGTTATTTTAAGTTCATACTATACTCTTTTTTAAAAAAGTGAATAAGGTTCAAACTTTTAGATATATTAAATATAATCAGGACTACTTAGATCGATTGCTACAAATTTAAACCACAAGAGGTGGTGTTAATGAAACCCGATACTGCAACAGTTAGCAATAATATGTAGTATGTCAAAGTACAAAAACCATTTTTTTAAATATGGGGAGGAATAGATTCAAATGGTGTCAGAAATATATGAAGGTGGGTGCTAAAAAAGGGGCCAATTCTTTATTTTCTTAGAACATATTCTGAAACTTTAGAAGATCTACCAACTAAATCCCTCTGGAAAGTTTTGTGTTATTTTTTGATGTTAAAGAATTAAAAATAGGATAGAAATGTAATTTTAAAAAAAAAATTTTTTATAATGTAATGGATAAAAACTTTAAAACGAAAATATGGTTTCTTATGAGCTCACTTTTATTAAATATTTGAAATAATTTAAATAGTAATTGGGGGTGTCATGAAAACCGGCCCAAATTAGATCGTGAAATTTTTCAATCGGAGTTTTTAGTCCGCTCTGTAATTATATTTTAGGTGGCCCGACCGGTCAAATATGTTTTATCCAGAAATAATTAAATGTGCTAACAATTTTTTAATCTTAGAATTAAATAGTTTAAAAGTTGACCATCATATTATAGCCATCTATAAAATATATTTTAAATTTATTTTACAATATTTATAATTTCATCATTATTTATGATTTATATGTGCAGGCTTAATTGCCTAAACTCGGAAAATTCGAGTTTCGAGTGAATTGGGCAGAAAATAAATTTTTCTTCCTTTCTTTCTCTTTCGTCTTCCCTTTATTAAAAGAAATATAGCTCGTATTAATAAAACGAGGTCAAATAAAAATTGCTTAATTATATAGTGATTCAATTTTGATTTATGGCAGGAGGGGATATAAAATATCAAATATTATGTGATCAAGTCTCGGCGCAGTTAATTGCAGGAACAAATACGTATGATCGTATGACCCTATAGGGCCCCAATTTTTTATAACATGTTTAACGCGTGCAAAGATAGAGCGCGGTATTCGGTTAACCTAAATGAATTAATTTTTTATTTTAGCTGTTTTTTCCCATAATTAGTAACGCACCCTAAAGAGGGGAAAAATTCGGACAATTTCTTCATGAATTTCTGAGTAGTGAAAGCCAACGGGTCGGTTCAATTGGTATATGACAGGGACCAGACCGAATATCTATTTTTGAGGGCCACAGTCCGAACCGGTCTTTTATTAATATTTAAGCTTGCTTCATTATTGAATTAATACTATTTTTTTACCTAATTTTTTTGTATATTTTTAATCATGTTATTTTTCTAGAGGAGCTATTTTAGTTTTTGTGAATTTTTAGTTCATGATAACTATAAGTTTTTCAAAGAAACATTTTACTTATAGTCCCAATAAAAAATAATTATGGGTAAAAACGAAAATATTTTTAAAATACCAAAAAAATAGCCGGTTCAGGACCGGTCTTATTATTTAAGACCATGGTCCATCCGAGTGCATCCGATCTGAACCAAAAACCGGACCGTGACTTCACTACTTCTGAATATTGCTTTTTTTAATTTATAAAGTCGATATAAAAAATTACTAAAAATAAACACTCGTTCAAAGGTACAACCTAAAGTGTTTGAAGTTCATAATGTGTACTTAAAATATATATTTCCGGTTTCATCAGATTTTTCAAACTTATATAATGGCTTTCAGTAAATGATATAAAATGGAGATATTCCAAATTCTAATGAAATTCCGTATCCCAAAACGATATTATATATAACTATTTTCAAATAACTTTTGTCCATACAAAAATACATTTCCTGTTTCATTCGATATTTTAAACTTAAAACTAGCCTTTAAATTCCATATCCCAATACGACATAATATATAATTAATTACAAATAGCATCTTATTCTCGAGTATAAATATATTTTCAAAATTTTTTACATTATTCTTCGGAATCATGGTAACTTGAATAGTTAGGAAAAAAATTTGCCTAATAAAATAAAACTAATCATTAAATTTCACAAAATTTATGAAACTAGAACCTAGGGTTAAGCCGATCCATAAATTATTATAAAATTTTTCACCGATCCTATATTTTCCGGCATCCATACAAAACCGATCCGATCATAGATCTTGGTTACCGGATAAATTTGAGGGGAATATCGAAAAAAATTTCTAATTACGAATAATAGAAAATTAAGTTGGTTATAAATAATTAATAAATTTTGTTTAAAAAATATCATTTACTAATCAAAATCTGTATTCTTTAATAAATTATATCAACATTTTTCCTCTGATATATATATTATCGTTAAATCCCGGGTATGGGGCAAATTAGAAGATTTGATGTAACAAATTTAAATCTGAGACCAAATTACTTGCCGTTTATCATCAAAATCAAATATTTTTCATTTTAAAAAAACTATTAAAAATTATTAGTAATTAATCTTCAGAGGGGTGTAAAAATAGATCCTTAAATTTTCCCACACCCATAATAGGTAAAAAATATACCTTTTTAATTTAAAATTACTTAATATTGTAGTTGACAAGATAAAAATATAATTTTTCAAAAAAAATAACGAGGACATTGCTAACTTTGGGTATTCCATTTTGATCTTTATAATGAATCCATTCCTTATTATTTTCACTATATGTGATTAAAAATTCGGAAACAAACTCAAGTGTATTTGGACGCCCTTGAGTCACTATTGATGTTATTTGCTTGGTTGATTCAAGGTCAATTTGAAGATACTGATTGATATCGGTATTACTTGAAGTCCAAGCTAATATATATATATTATTATACATATAATAGAATATTTG